TATTGTTAGTGTTCAAGGACGTCATCTCATCTTTCATAGCGAGCTCCCACTTGCTTGCATCACCCACTCGACATGCCTTATCATAGCTTTCTGGCTCTCCATCGTCACTCAACAATAAGTAGTTCAAATGAGATCTGGGCTGTAATGATTGATACTTCAGATTTGGCTTGGGCACTCTTTCTGTCTGTCTCAACTCTCTGATGGATGGACTAGGCTCTGCATCTGTCCTCTCTGAAGTTGTCTCCTCTATCATTTCTTCTTCCACTTTTTCTGCTCCTTCCTCATCAGAACTAGCCTCAAGATTACTCCCATCTAGAACATCATCCGGCTCGAAGTATGTAGGCTCAGACTGCACCGAACTAGTGGACTGAACATCATCACGATCTTTGTAGAGGACTGCTTCATTGAAGACAATATCCCTGCTTCTGATGACTTTCTTGTTCTGCTCATCCCAGAACTTATAGCCAAACTCACCACCACCATAGCCAATAAAATAACATTTCAAAGATTTAGAATTAAGTTTGTTTCTAACATGATCACTCAAATAAACATATAAAACAACCAAAGACTCTTAGATGAGAAAGGTTTACCTGCTTTTCACTCCATACTTCTTCAGGTATTCTATGCTCCAAAGGCATTGATGGTCCCCGGTTGATCAGGTAGGTAGCTGTGTTGACTGCTTCTGCCCAGAACTGCTTTGGAAGTCCTACTTGTAGACACATGCTTCTGGCTCTCTTAGTCAGCGTCCTGTTCATCCGTTCAGCTATGTCATTCTGCTGTGGAGTACCTGGCACTGTCCTCTCCAATCGGATGCCACTATCATAACAGAACTTCTTGAACTCTGAATCTTCATATTCACCGTCATTATCTGATTAAAGCTTCTTGATCTTCAAGCCTGTTTCAATTTCTACCATAGTCTTCCACCTTTTGAAGACTTCGAACACTTCTGATTTGTGTTTCATGAAATAGACCCAAGTCTTCCTCGAGTGATCATCTATGAAGGTCACAAAATATAATCTTCCACCAGTAGACTGGACTGATGTTGGACCTCACACATCTGTGTGAACTAGCTCAAGCTTCTCTTCCTTCGGAGTTCTGCCAACTCTTTTAAAGCTTATTCTCTTCTGTTTCCCAAATATGCACCTCTCACATAAGTCAAGACCAGTCGACCTCATACTTGGTAGCTTCCTATTTGACTGCATAATCTTTAGCCCTTTGCTGCCCATGTGACCAAGCCTTTGGTGCCACAAATTTGGATCTTCTTTGCTCTCAACCACTACAATGGATCCACATGTATCTGTCATCATATAAAGAGACCCACTCTTCGTGCCACGGGCAACAATCATAGACCCCTTGGTAACCTTTCATGTATCACATGTGAAGGTTGATACATATCCCTCTTTTGCTAGCTATCCTATGGAGATTAGATTCTTCCTCAAGCTTAGAACATGTTTCACATCATTCAACTTCCATACAGACCCATTGAGGTTGATCTGCACCACTCCCTTTCCAACTACATCACACGCCTGATCATCACCAAGATAGACTTTTCCTTAGATTTCCTGGAACATAGTTATTAAATAGATATCTATTTGAGGTAGCATGAAACGATGCTCCCGAATCCAACACCCACGATTCTGTTTTGCTCTCCAACGAGCAGATGAGGGCATCATCTGATTCTCCTGAGGCGACGTTCGCTTCAGTCTTGCTCTCCTTATCTTTCTTGGGTTCCCTGCACTGATTCTCATAGTGCCCATACTTGCCACAGTTCCATCAATCAATCTCTTTCTTGCTTCTACGATTTTTGAACTTTGACCTGTCGTTCATCGAATTAGGTCTCCCACGGCTATTCCCTCTATTCCTGTTTCTGTTTCTGCCTCTGCTCTCAACATTCAGTGCCGACCTTGAACTAGAAACTCCTTCTTCATGCATTCTAATCTCCTCGGTCATAATTATGTCAACAACCTCTGAAAACTTCACTTTCGATTTTCCCAAAGATCCACTAATCGAAATAATGGTGTCCTTCTAACTATCAGGCAACTGACCAAGTATTAAGAGGGCTTGAATTTCATCATTGAATTTAATGTTAACGGAGTTTAACTGATCCGTGATCTCATTAAACTCGTTCAAGTGATCTTTGAATTTTTGATTCTGGAGTTTAACTGATCCGTGATCTCATTAAACTCGTTCAAGTGATCTTTGAATTTTTGATTCTCGGACATCCTCAAATTATCTCATTAAACTCGTTCAAGTGATCTTTGAATTTTTGATTCTCGGACATCCTCAAATTAAATAACTTCTTCATGAGATGTACCTTTTTCGCTGCAGAGGGTTGTTCATACATACTGGATAAAGCAGCCATGAGATCCGTCGTCGAGTTCTCATTCTTGATGTTGAAGGCTACGGATCTGGACAATGTCAACCTAATTGCTCCAAGGGCCTTCTAATCTAACAACTTCCACTCTACATCCTTCATATCCTCCGGCTTCTCTCCCAACGACAAATACAGATCCTTCTGATAGAGGTAGTCCTCCATCTGCATCTTCTAGTACCCGAAGTTTGTCTCATCAAACTTCTCGATCTTCGACGTCTCCTTCTCGGATCTCATATCTAACCTCAAATCGCTCGCGCCGAACCTGACCACTCTGATACTAGTTGTTAGGTTTTTTCTAACCCCTGTTGCGATTTGAAAATAGAGATGAGAGAGGAAAGAGAGGAAAAATAAATCACAGAACACATAGAATTTACGTGGTTCAGTTCTCGATGAGAGAAGCTACGTCCACGGCCGCCGCAGGTAAAATTCCACTATGTTTTGAATAGTTTACAAGCTGCACCCTAATCACCCTTTTATAGCTAGGGTATTAGTTCGATCCGCACAGTTGGGGTTCTGACGATTCGATCACTTAAACGAATTCGACTGGGTCTGAAAATTAGGCTCCACATAACCTAACATGTGACACGAAACCTACAACTAGTGAAAGGGAATATACTGCAAAAAGAAGATTGATGCTGGCAAAGAGATTGCCACTAGCTTCAATCACTCCATGGGACCTTCGGTGAATCGGTAGTGTCTAACATCTGCTTCTTATGAGACTTCCTATCCTAGATGTCGAAATTTTTTTAATCTCATATACAATTATATGGATCCATGTCAAACTGATTTACAGTTAGATTCCACATGTAAATTTTCAAGTTTACGATTCTGACTGAAGTTTTTAGTGCCCATAATTGTTTATCAAGTGCTTGCACAGGATTCAGTTGCTGGTGCTGAAATTTCGTATTAGACTTTCTGGTCGGACTAGTTGGACTAAAAAATTCAAATTAACTCAAAAGATTAAAATACTCTTGTTTGGTTGCTCCACAATTCATATACATGAATAACTGAAAAAAGTTACGTGTCAAATCATCAAATATAACACACAACTATACATATAAAAGCCCAAATATTGCAGCGTTTATAAACGAAATTATAGCGAAGAACAAAAGTCACCAACTTTCCTAAATCATAAACACCACATAAATGAAGCCTTTGACACTTTTCTCAAAGAGAAACCAAATTATTAACACCTTTTACAAAGAGACATCAAATCATATTCCAGAAGAAATTTAGTAGTTAAATATCCCAAACGCAGTCACGATGGCCTTTTGCAATGTTTAGTTCCTTTTCTTTATCTCAAATCTTTTAGAATTTTCCTTTGGTTTTTTTGAAAACTTAAAAAAACTTTCACTGGTATATGCTAACTTAGGTTATACATAGTACAACTTGATTAGTTTGTTTAGAGTCTGAAACAAAAACAAAAACAAAAACAATATCGAATAAACAATCTACATGTTTATCCTTCTAGGAATTCCGTTCCATTAATGCATTAAACTTCTAGATGGTAACAGAGCAATTCTTGAGCTTAGACCCCATTTTTAACTAACATGCTTCCCAAATTCATGCATAATAAATCTGAAGATGCGTATGTTGATTTTATGCTTCCCATATTCACGCATAATAATTCTGAAGATGCATCTCAAGATGCATATGTTAATTGTATGCTTCCCAAATCCATGCATAATAACTCTGAAGATGCATAGGTAATATTGTATGGATTAAGCCCAAACAAATTAGTTATCCCTTTAAATCCGTATACGTGCAAGGGGACACGGAAGAGTACTTTAATATAATACACCATACTTCTTAAAAAAAAAAAAAATTCAAATCAATTTACTCCAATATCCTACTAAAAAAATCAATTCACTGTGAAAGAAAGATTGAGGGGTTCCGCTGCAACCTTTTACACTACTAGACATAAACTTTCACTTACATGATAAAAAAAAAACAAGAACGTTATCCTCTTTTCTTTGGTGTAGCCCTCACAATTAGCGTGATAATACTTCATGCCTTTTTTATTTACAATATATCCAATGAAAATTACTAGGCAAATTTAGCGTGAGCATGATCATGTACCATGTCCCTTACACCCCTATCATTTTCCTAACTTGTAAACAGACTCATCATCGTTGTTTTTCTCCAAATGTGCACATTGATCAACTAACCGCTAACTTTCATTGGAAATGGGGAATAAATGCAAAGTACGTAAGCGATGATAAATACTAGATTTAGAATGAATCATAATCGTTTTAGTATTAGCTTATGATTGGGGAATGAACTCATTGTCAAAATATAAAGGTGGGAGTTCAAACCTTTATGCAATCTGAGTATACTGCCAAGTGCTTGTGCCAGATCCTGCAAATAAATCAACTCCAGGTCTCGAGCCTAAACTGGACCTAAGAGTAATTGCTCAATTCACAGTTGCAAAAGAGGAGCAACCGCTCGTCCAAAGTACTCTTAAAACGCACGAGGTAATCATGGCAAGCTTCTTAGCTAGTCTGATCTTTATCTTAACATGAATAGACGCTCATCTTTCGGCCTTATAACCAGTAATATATGAAAAATTAAGCACATTAATACTACTTCCCATAAAATGAAAACAGATATAAAGCAATAAACGCGATAACGAAGACTGAAATCTAAAAAGAGTTCCCATCAATGGACGCTATATCGTTCTGCCACACAAACAACAAGCATACAATGTGAAACACCAAAATGCAATTTGAAGTATTACAACCATATTCCACAATGATTCATTGCATAATGAAATATTATTTTGCCGGAATAAATGTCATCATGTCGACAAGAATCTCTATGGGTTCATTTGTTAACACGAAGCTGCAACCACTGAAATAGAGTATACTGCAAAAAAAGACTGCCGCCGGCCTCAATCATTCCATGGAAAGTTTAGTGGTGTCCAGCATCTGCCTTTTTATGAGACTTCGCCTTTGCCTGAAAGAGAAAGAGTAAGTACCAAGTTAATTTACAAGTACAAAGAAAGTAAAGAAAAAGGTTTAATATCACAATGCTCAGTCCAGGTAACCATCAAGCACCAGGTTAGCTTACAATATACCGATCATAAATATCAGACTGAGTACATGTAATTCATTTTTTATGGCATCTCTAATATTATTTAAATCTTTGGGTCTAAATTCTATAGGCCAAGGTTTTAAATATCGGTTATTGGGGATTTATCAGACAGCCAAAGTCCTTATCGGATAGTGAAAATCGGGGATATATTGGAGATAAGTAGTATTTATTGGAGCAATATACTGGATGGTGTATATATATAATATAACAACTAAAAATGTAATCTAACCATGCTTAATGAAATATAAACATACAAAAACAGAAAAGCAAAGTATGTACAGTTTATTCACTAATTTCTTATATAAGTCTCTGTTACAAGAAAAACAGAAAAGCAAAGTATGATAAAAGAATAGTTATAGAACTAATATTACTCAAAAGAGAAAGTGCGTGCGTGAAGGAATTACAAGAGAAGGAAAGCTCACAGCATGTGTATATAGCCATGTTTCCGGACATAAAAAACATGGTTGACAAAGGGTAGATGAGCGACGAAGTTCAAGGTTGAAATTCACGAAGGTGAGTGACGAAGAGGCGCAAAGAACATGAGATGGAGATAACGGAGGAAGCGCCCAACGAGAAAATGAGCTGCCACCAGAGACGAAGTTAGGGTTTGAAGGTCGGATTCACAAAGTTTCGGATTTTAAGTTTCATATTATTAACAAAACGGGTCGGGTCGGGTTTTAAAAACTCAACAACTCAACTCAAAATACCTATTTTGACCGATAATCCAGATAATTGAGCCTTATTTATCGGCCGATAAGTGCCGATAACTAGCTGATAATCTCTCCAAAACGATGATCGATTACAAAACCAATTTATCTTAGCGGAGAGCTCAAAATCCAATAACTCGACCGATAATATCGATTATCGGTCGATATTTAAAACAATGCTATAGGCCCGTCCATATTCACAGTATACAACCATCCATCCATCCATTTATATATAGTGGTCATAAATGAGAGGGACAGAATAACAATCTTCCAATTCTAAACTTCTGAACTTTAGGATTCTTCAAGGACTCGTGAGATTCAAATTTGCTTATTTAAAAAACTCCTAGAAAAAAAAAACCAATTAGAACATATCAACATCTTAACTGTTACATCAACTCTCCTACATTGCTATTTATTAGCAAAGCAATTTGCTTAAAACTATGCTTAGAAAAGTAATAGTTCTGGCTCCTCTTGCTTTTGGACACCACAAACAGGCGGGTAGATAGAATATGTTTCAACGCATTAGTCAAATCACGTTACCACCAGCAGATGTCAATCACATAAAATGAAGTTAACAAATAATAAGAGAGAGATTTTTCACCCTATTGAAGGATAGTAGAACCTTTTATTTTATATTTTGATTTCTTTATGTGTCACCACATTCTATCTTCAGGCACAAGTTCCTTAAACTATATCAACGCTGAAACATGCAAAATGAGAAAGAAAAAGAAAAAAAAAAGAAAACAATAAGCTCATAGCTCCAAGCTTTTGAAGATTTAAAAAAGTTAATATCTAATGCCAAGTTGGGTGTTAGGGAATAGTACGAGTCTTTTGATGGAGGAGTTTAATAATTTAGACAAATGAAGAAAACTAATGGCAAAGGGGAAAAGAAGATAAACAGAAACATTTACCGCAAAGAAACTAAACATTCACTCAATAACTCGCAAAACTTATTTTGGTGTGAGGAACCTTAGCTGGGACTATCAGTTATCAGGGAGGAGCCCTGAGTTCGACTCCTCAACTCGGCCACTTTTAGGAACTCACAAGGGAGCTCAAAAGTAATACTCCTGGCTCATAACCGTGTAATGGTCACCTGTGAGAAGTTTCTGCAGGAAGGCCAAAACCCAAGACCAGAGTCTGAAGTCTGATACTACCAGCAAACTAAACCCCGAAGACTGGGGCCCCTTGCCCAGCCCGGCCCGAGGTGAACAAGATAAGGTATTGCAATGCCTAATAAATCGGAAATTGGGAATAGGTGTGCTATAGACATGGATCGCCCCTTGGCCTTGTAACCCAGGGTGCCAAGTCCCAACGACTAGGCTGATCCTCCCTGATAACCGACAGTCCAACCATTTTAAATTACATCTTATAAGCTTTTGAAAGAAAACTTGTTTTTAATTACTCAAAAGAATGTAGTTCCCTAAATAATCCAAATACTTATTTTTTACTTTTCAACTCTAACCATCATGTGTACAATAATGATACGTAATCGGCATTTTATATCTTTGCAAGTAGATCCCAAAAATTATCTCTTAAGCTCTAATTTCAAGTCAAATCAAATACAAAGCCAACATATTCTACCTTAAGTATAAAACTGACATGTATTCTTTTGCTCAAAATATCAAGTTTTGGCCTCGGAATTTGAAGCAATTCATAAAAATTGCTCCCATTGGTGATGAAATAGCTTTCACAGCTTCACTGGAAACACATTCTTCATTCCAATTCTGAGGAATACTAAATTCAAATCTTTACATTAAATTGATGTCCCATCAAAAGGTGCAGAAAACAGTCTACAACATAAAACATAGTCAATAGATACCAGTTATTACACAATTCTACAAACCCATGCATTTACACCTAGCATTATTAAATAAAAGGGATGCAACAATTCAAGCCTACCAATTTCTCAAGCAAAAGATGATTTGGCTATGACAAATACTCCTCCTAAACAACATGACATGCAAAAGTTTAGGCATATTCAATGATATAAAGTTTCCATAATTTTCAAACAACATCGGTCCAAAGTATATGAACGACAAATTTTGTAGGGATATGTTGTAACCTTCACTTTGATGTACACACAAGCACAGCAGAGCAATTGAGCTCTATCATGGACTCCAAATGTTACAAACAAAGTGCCCACGTTCACCGATCAAAATTCCATTTTTATCTCTTTGACAAGAATCAAGAGATGACACTAGTCACTGAAGCCTAAACCTGATTTCAAATACGAAGAAAAGAAATAATCTAGCTAGAGCATATTTTGGCAGTGAAAACAAGGCCATAATTTAGAATTCAGTATTTTGAAAATCTTAATATTTGCTTTCCTCCCATTATCCCTTCTCTTAGGAAGCTATCTCGTATCACGTTAGGATCAAGAGTTAAAATAAAACTCTTTAGGATTATCCATCCATGCAAATAATTACACAAAAATAAATATATTTTTGCATACACAACCTAAGAGGATTTGATTTAAGACAGTGTTCTGGATATTGACTCTTTAATACCTTCTACAATCCCATTGCGCAAAGGAAACATGAAAATTATTGCCAACATCCCTATTGAGAAACTCTCGATACGCTTGTGCAATTTTACAACTAAATAGTGTCCAGATAACTTTTGCGTTTTCACTACACCAGGTATATATTGTGTTAGATATTGAATCTTACTTCACAGATAACATTCACAGTTGTTTCTTGCTGTAGACTGGAAATTAAATTAGAGATCTTGCAACTGATCCAAACAAATTGTATCAGCCTTGAAATCATCAAATTGAACCATAGCCACCGAAGTTTCATAGTTAGATATTAAAAGAAAGGCTTATTTGCACTTCAATACCCCAAAGTTTCACCCATTTTAATTTTGATGCCCCGGAGTTCTACTTTGATAATTTAATACCCTAAAGTTTTCAAATTGATGTTAATTTGACAATCTGATACCTCAAAGCCCTAATTTTGTTCCTCACTTTCTCCAAACTCAAAAAACTGAAATTTGGTAAGAAAATCGTTTCTTATTCACTTTTTTAAGTTGAGATTCCTGAACAGAATTAACACCACAACTTCACTATACTCAAGCGTTTGGTGACTAGATTCAGGATAGAACATGAAATTGCACAAAAAATCATAAAATTTACAAACAATGAGAGATCGAACACGCCAAAATGAGATCTTTAACAGACCTAATAAATATCCAACCGAAAGTTAAAGAGATAGATCCAGTACCTTGAGATAAGAGAGCTTGAAGCTACCGTAGACGACCCCAAAGGTCACGGCAGAAGCACGTGCTACCTAAATTTTCAGAAACGAAGAATACAAATCAACAGATCTACGCTATAGATCTAAGGATAAAAAAACCGCGAAAAATCACAAAAAATAGGGGGAAATGAAAGGGAGAAAGGGCTTACGAAAGCTAGGGTGCTGACACCAGAGTACGGTCCTGGAACTGGAGCCATGGATCAAAAGCAGCAGCTGCAACGGTAGAATAAGAAGAAAGACTCCTGGCCGCCGAAATAAAAACCCTAGAAATTGGTTCTTAATTTCTTATTTGGACAAATTTTCAAAACCAACCCATTTGAGATTTTATTCTCAAAAAACGACCCGTTTGACATTTATTTAGAGAAACCGACCTGGTTTCAGCACTGTAGCTGAAACGAGGTCGGTTTTTCTAAAAAAGTTTACGAAACTTCACGGGAGTTCAACTCCCGTGAAGTTTTTTCTCATAACAAAACTTCACGGGAGTTGAACTCCCGTGAAGTTTCGTAAACTTTTTTAGAAAAACCGACCTGGTTTCAGCTACAGTGCTGAAACCAGGTCGGTTTCTCTAAATAAATGTCAAACGGGTCGTTTTTTGCAATTAGTTTCTCAAATAGGTTGGTTTTGAAAATTTGTCCTTTCTTATTTTGATGCGTCGAAATTGGGTGGGAATATGTAAAAAAAAGAATTAAGGGTTTTATTTGAAATTAGTCCCGCAAATCTTTCATATTTGGAAATTGGTTACCCAAATCTTTATATTTTGAAATTAATCCCTCAAATCTTTTACTTGTTCTGAAATTCCTACCCCAAATATTTCAACTTTCAAACTGGTTCTAACAAAAAGGACTAGTTTCAAAATACTAAAGTTTGGGGCTTAATTGAAAATCTAAAGATTTGGGGGAACTACTTTTAGAATCGGAAAGATGTGGGGGGCTGATATTGAAAATACCCAAAGTTTAATTTTGTTTCTCTTTCTGAATTGGTAGTATTTTATAATTGGTAGTATAATACCCAAAGTTTCTCTTTCCTCTTTTTTTTTAATCAGGTTAACTTGGGGGCTATTTGGTTCCATTTCTATAAAGAATAGGATTAGGAAAATGTTGGTTTTTTGGATTCCCTATTAATTTATAAATATTTTAAGAATAAATTTTTATTGTTGTAAAATTATATGATTTCCTATTTTTTGGTCTTTCTATGTTTGGTTCATAACATAGAAATATAGATTCCAAATTAATAGAAACTCTCTAATTCTAATTCTTTTGTTTGGTTTGGAATGAGAAATTTTATGGATAAATGAACACAATAGGTAAACTTAACAAAATTTGCATAAAACTTGAGTTGGGGTTATCTTACTCGTTTGCCAAAATTACCAACTGAAAAACATCAGGCGTCTAACGGCTAGTTCAAAGGCCTTAGATCTTATAAATATGGATTGAACCCTCATGGTGCAAATACATCTCCCATTCCTGTCATTATATCAAATTCTCGTTATTTGCAATTTTCATCTCCTCCATTAATATGATATCAAAAGAATACCCTCAAAAACATGAAGTTTGGTGACATTGCAATCTCCAAACACCCACGAAAGTATGCAAGAATGGGGAAAATAAGGGGAGGTATTATTGGGGTGTACAAAATACACAAATAAAAAAAATATTTTTTTTGAATAGGCTCATGAAGGAGGAGAAATAAGCAACCAAGAAAACTAATTTGTCAAAGAAAACAAGTTTGGAGATGAATATTTTTTGAAATCGAAGAGGTCGAAGAAAGTTTTGAAGCTTCTTAAAAAATGACTCTTAACTTGAAAAATATCTGCAATTTTAGTAGTGATATTTTATATTATTTTAATTATTATAAACCTTATGTCATGTACTTGTAAAAACTATTGATATTGTAATAGAAAAAAATTGGAATTTGAGTATAAAGGAAAATATCAATACAATTTCAGTGATATTGTATGGCTCAGAAGTAGGTCATTTTATCGAAATCGATTGCCTCACCTATAACTTACAGATTTATTGTAGATTGCAATCTAATGATGGATTACCTCGCCTAGATACAATGTAGGTTGCATTCTCATCACAGATTGACTCATCTAAATAAACACTATAAGTTAAATTGCATTCTCAGTAAAAGACCATCACCATTACCAAATCTAATCTAATCTAATACTAATATAAAAGTGGGTTGCTATGTTAAAACATTTATTCCAAAAATTCCCTCCAACACATTCATCCATACATACATGAAATGCACAAATACTTAATTTTTCACAAGCTCATCATTTACTACACATCCATCCATTCATACATACACATGCATTCTCAATTTTTCATAACCTCCATATTTATGACCAAAGCATGTGTACATGCATAAACACATGGGTATTATCTCATATCTCATATATAATATTGCACATGGGTACTATTATTAACACATGGGGGTTATGAAGATGAAACGCTCTAATGTTTTACTATGTATTAATAATAGTATATCCTAGATATTGCAATATTTAGTTATAAAAAAAGGCATTATAATATTATACAATAAATAGTTTACTTTACACAATTTATTAATGATGATGATGATAATAATAATATTGTGCAAGATAATAATAAAAAACTCATGCAACCATGCAACAATAATAAATCTCATGCAACCATGCAAAGATTAAATTCACGCAACCATGCAAATACCCAACCATAACCTCAAAATTAAATTCAAAAAACTCATGAAACCATGCAAATACCCAACCGTAACCCCAAAATTAAATTCACCACCTCATGAAATCTCCATTGAATTAAATAATAATTAATCAATAACCCTCTCATCTCCCTCAAGTGTAACTCCCTTACCTTCTCTTTCCTATATAATCCCTCTCATCCTCAACCTATGATCACACAACCAATCCTCAACCTATGATTACACATCCAATCACCTATAATAATAAAAGCACCTAAAATATCTCTTTCTCGTACCATCTCCTTGGAATTTTCATGTAGGAACATTTCTAGGTGATGCTTCTATTTAATCTTCTTTTGTAAGAGTTCATTTACATATTGTCTACTATTTATCCATTGTCTTTGCTTCATATTTATTGCAAAATTAAAAATATTCCAGCGCAAGAAAAGTTAAAGTTTATAATGGGTATGATCAACACTAATTTGGGCAATTATTCTGTTTAGCATAATCAAAGGTGAATATGTATTTCACATGTTTAAGGAATTTATTAATTAAAATTACCTTAACAATGTAGTTGTTCTCTTATTTTTTTTCTTCTTTACCTTTAAATTAACCAATATTTTATCTTTTACAACGAGAATATCCTTTGCCCTAATATTGTTCTTATTTAAGTGAATCCTGGTGAATACGTTAAAGTTTTGATAAGGTAACAAATACTTTAAGCGAAATTATGACATATCTAAAATTAAAGATAAACGACCAATAAATATGTTTAATTTTTATCTTATCTAATACTATTATAAAAGTGTGTTGGTATGTTAAACCATTTCTTCCAAAAATACCCTTTAAAACACATATATGCATATATAAAACACATGCATCCATACATAAACCATACCTCATACATACATAACCCCTAATTAAATGCATTATTATTCATAACCCCTAAAATAATTTCACCATTACTAAGTTGTTTATATTTTTATAACCTCCCATTAACATATTAGTCTCTTATAACTCTCACTAATTATCACTATCATAATTAAAAAAACGTTACAACCATTCATCTTCTTACTAAACCACTATAAATCATAACAAATCTCTTACAAAAATGAATACAACATATGCAACCCTCATCATCTCCATTGCACCTCCTCAAATCCTTGAACGTCTTTTGTCCCGATTTTACCTTTTTGGATTTCATTCTCTGCACAACCAATCACTACTTACTATCTCTTATTATAACATGATGAGATTAGCATGATTTATAGTGAAAGATTCTTTCTCTATCTTTTATAACCTCCCAATAACAATTTAAGCTCCTACTCTCTCTTTCGTAATTCTCACTAATGATCACTACCATAATCATAGAGAATGTTTTAACTGATTTTTTACCATTACAATTTCTCTTTGCTTGATTTGGCTTATTATAATATATGTCTTCATTGGTCAATCAAGATTTTTGAAGTTTGTATTTAATTTTTTTTAAGAACCATAAAACCTAATCAAGTATGAAATTCATGATTTAACAAAATATGTTTTACTTAAAATATTTTATTTAAAGTAATAAAATACATAATTTATTTTAAAGTTATAGTTGTAATGTGTTATCAAAACTTAAGATGATGCAAATGGGCATAAAGAGTTGGACAAAATAATAATAATAATAATAATGTCTCACTTATAACCTCTTCATATTCATACCCTCTCCATTAATTACCTATAAAATTTTTTATTTAATTTCTCACTCATAACCTCTCCTAATCTTTAATTTCATCCATTAACCTTCATCACTAACAATAATGAACCCCCCCCCTTTAATTTCAGCAGCAGCAGAAACTAAATATACTTTATAACCTCCCAATAACAAATTAATCTCCTACTCTCTCTTTCTTAATTCTCACTAATGATCACTACAATAATCATAGAGAATGTTTCAACTGTTTATCTTTATACTAGCCACTATAAATCACAACTAATTTGTTTAAAATTTTCTATGAATTCTCTTTTGAGTATAATTTCCTACTTCATTATTAACACTAATAAAGTAAGATTTCGAAATAAGCTAAATATAGAATGAGGCTTTGTGACATGTGCATATTATTTAGAGCTCAAGGTCTTAAGACTAAATTCTGGAAATGACACATCAAGTTACTTCACTTCCAACTAATCAAGTAAGATGAATAATTGAAGAAGAAACAAAGAGTAGTTTCCTGTATTTATATAAATGAGTTTGAGATTTTTATGTTCTGCTCTTACTATGTATATCAAAGATTTTTAGCACTAGCATAATATGCACATAACAGTCCATATTTTCCAACGTAAAAAAAAAAGTAAAAATTTTAATGTTAAATAATATTCAGTCTGCTATTGTGGAAATTTACTTTGAACTGAGGACATACTTTGGTCATACCCATCATAATGGTTCCTTAAAAAATCATGTACTGAGTTGCAAAATCCATCCTTCACAAAAAGTTTTGTCTAATTGAAATTTGTAGGTTCAACTTAAAAATATTTTTAGAGCAAAATAATGACACACATTACTGTAAGACCCCATAACTTTTTTTTGATGATGTTTGTTCTTAACAATTTAAGAAGCTCTGATTAAGTTTTTTCACAGG